ACCTTCGGTTGCCCCGGTTGCTGGATGGCGGTGCAGAAAGCAACAGGTTGCACATGTGAAGTCACAGAAGATGCCAGAAATGAGCCTTTGTGGGACGCAAAACAAATGAGTGAGAATGGGGAGAGAGAAAGAAAAGAGCAAGAAAGAAAAGAGGGAGGGAGAGGGAAATCAAAACAAATGGAAAGGGAAGGAGAGGGAGAAAAGAAAAAGAAATGAGAAAATGAGGGAGAGGATGAGAAGAAAAAATGAGAATGGGGAGAAAAAAGGGAGGGAGAGGGGGAAAAACGGAGGGAGGGAGAGAAATGAGATAGAAAAAGGGGGTAAGGAAAATGAGGGAGGGAAAGGAGGAAAATATGAGAATGGGAAGAGAAAAAGGGAGGGAAAGAAATGAGAATGGGGAGGGAAAAAAACAAGGGAGGGAGAGAAATGAGAAAGGGAAAGAAAAAGAAATGAGAAAATGATGAAAGCAAAGGATGAGAGGAAAAAGAAACATATGAAAAGGAGGGAAAGAGACCCATTTCCCACACACGGAAACCACAATGCTCATGTATGGAACCACAATCAATTTATTCAAATTCATCCATTTATTCAACTACCTTCCTTTCTTCTGGAACGTTGTCAAAACTCTCCACACCCAGAATTCCAGTCTGAGTTTCTTGTGAGTCCATTTTGTTTGAAACCATTGATCCCAATTGCTGATGTTTAGCAACAGAGGCCTCCTTAAAATGGGGCGTTGGTTCTTCCCTGATACGCCCCTTCTCTGGGCAGGTGGAAACAGCGGTCATGCACGGGTTAACTCAGTAACCAATAGAACTGAGTCTACCAAAGGGATGTCATCGGCTCTGCGGAGCATGCTCCTGCTTTTCCTGACGGAGATTAGTAGACGGCTGTGTGTGACCAATCGCTTTCTCTCCGGACTCAACCAAAAATGCTCACTGTACACCCCTGCGAGGTAGGCCAGAATGCTAGGGTGGGGATGACCGCTGTCTCCACCTGCCCAGAGAAGGGGCGTATCAGGTAAGAACCAATGCCCCATTCTCCTAAGTTGGTGGAGACAGCGGTCATGCATGGGACCTGTCAGAGTTGGCGTGTCCCCGTGAGGGCATGAGACTGGCCTAGGAGCTGGAGGAAAAAACTCAGAAGTTTTTGCGCCAATTTCAACGGCCACTGAGGCTGCAGAGCCGATGGGCCGGAGCCACGAGGTAGCCGAGGCGCATTTCTTGCAATTCTGTTTTCAATATAGTCGTTTATAAATCAATGTGGCACCCCTTTGATCAATAGGTTTTTTTATTAAAAGTTTTTTATTTTTATTTTTCAAAACAGACACAACACAAAAAATCCTCTTTCTTTACACACTGTAGAAAGTGTATTAATTAGTTACAAAAAAATTTCGAGCGTTTCTTTCACAGTCACCCATGATTCATATTAATTCTAGTATTTTAAATCAAATATATTTGTACATATTACCATCATCCTACCCCCATTCCCGTTTGACTACAATTGTTTAAACGTCCATCATAAAACATACCAAAAACTCAAGCCCTAACCACGTACTGGCATCTCATTTGCTATTTCTAGTATCCCAATAACCCTATTCCTTATGGCACCTGTTGACTGAGGTTATCATAGTCTACTCTCCATTGAGCGGGGGGTTGGACTAGATGACCTACAAGGTCCCTTCCAGCTCTGTTAATCTGTTAAACTCTGTTAAACTAAAGCCATGAAAGCAAAGAGACAAAAATCCACTAACAATCCAAACTGTCAACATTTTGCAACAACAAAATGAAAACTCTTTCACATTTAATCTGTGAATGTGTTCTTATCTAGGCTTCCCCAGCAGCACAGAGCTGAGCCCTCATCCCGATAAACCCTTTTATTTAATTGAGAGTGAATTCCTCTCCAGCAAAGTCCCGGCCAAGAGTCTTTCAAGAGAGTTCACAGTTACCGACCTTTATCAGGCTTTGGGAGTGGCCAGGCCGATATCTTTCAGACGCCGCAATCCTTGGCAAGAATGCAGGCATGAATTAATTGTTGGTAGACGTAGGGGTGACATTGTAATATAATTTTAAGCATATTTAATTTGTATCTTAAATTATTGCATTCTATTCTGATTATATTTTAAATTGTATTTTATTCCATTTATATTTTAAATTGTGGTCTGTTTCAATCTCACTTTAAACTGTAGTTTTTGTCTCTGGAACTTGGTGCTTTGATATGGCCCAAGGGCTAATCAATAAAGATTGGCTGATTGAATTAATTGTCTCCTGCAAACAC